ACACACACACATACACACACACATACACACACACATACACACACACATACACACACACACACAAGCATCTCGAGACAAACTTCACTTTATGATCAAAAGTCACATTTACCCCAAACAAATTTTTACAAGTTTGTGTGTGATTATTTTATGTTACCCAGAGTTCACAATACTCCAAGTTACCCCTACCATAACAGGTTGCCTTTAGATCAATTGGTTTTAACAGTTATCTCTTTATGAACTGTAAAAAGTGACATCTTTATACAAGGCAACAATCAGAAGGCCAAAGAGTTCATAGCTGGTGGATTCATAGATGACCTATCAACACATTTGAAACACCACTTTGAAACCATTCCTTGTGAAAGGCTTTCCTCCATTTTTTTTCTGATGTTATCAATTCATATGTTTTTAAAGTGAGTTTCATCTTAAAACAGAAACTGGTAACACTATTTTTAAAGATGTTTTATTTCTTAAATCCATATCATATAGCTTTATTTTCTTTAATTCACTGACTTGGATTATTCTATGCCCCTTGAATGCCAATAGAATTCCATACATGCTCTACCATTTCATTCATAATTCTTTGGCAATCAAATGCCTTTTTTTCCCCCAATTGGGTGCGATTCTTCTTGCTGTCCCATTGCTAAGCAACTGGAAGGAAATTTCGGGACTGGGTTTTTAAAATCCCATTTTACAATTCAAATGAAGGCACTGCATTCTGTGTGTCTGTCAGCAGGTAACAATAGCTCAACTCTTTTTCCAGGAATAACAAACCGAAGCTAGAAACACACTTGTCTCGGGTATGGCGGACTGAAACAAAAAGGGACCTCCACTCTCGTAAAACAGAGCCAGAAATTGATGTTTTTTCATTTCCACTTTAGTCACTTACCCCCAAATATTCCAACCTTATATACTTTCAAAAATTGCGTAGTTAGGAACTCTTTACATACACACACACACACACACACACACACAGAGAGAGAGAGAGAGAGAGAGAGAGATGTGGCGGAGAGAGAGAGACTCAAGTTTAGGAAAAGGATACACACACTTACCTTTAACAGAGGCAGAGTATGAGGAAAAGAAGCAGAGGAAAAGCACTGCTAGGAGAATCATGCTGCCCGGCTCCCTTCTGCCACATCCACTTCCCAGGAGTCGCTGAGAAGTGGACTCTTCTGGTGGCAGCCTGCAAGGAAGTGACCCTCTTCAGAATCTGCGACAACAGTGTTTATCTATAGGGGAAAGGTCAGATTCCAAACTCCAAAATCAGGACCTAAGTTCATGGGAGGGCTGACTATTAATGATTAAACATAGGTGGGCTATAGTTTTTGGTCTTTCACTTTTAAGAAATGTGTTTCATTCAATTAGGAAAATCAAGGAAGTTTTCATCTTGAGAGCCAAAGTAAACCAGTCCATAGTCCTACAAAAGCATAAATGCGGAAGCATCAAGGAGCTATGCCAACAAACAAACAAACAAAAAACCTGACTGTGATACTTTTCTGCTCAAGTACAGAATCATCACCAAAGCTAGAACATTAACTGCCTATTAGAATATTTCCCTATTTCTAATAAAAACGTGGTGAAGTACAATTAGCCCCAACCCCACTGAACCTGACTGAACCAGAACAGAACACATCGTTATTAGGGTTTTTTTTTGTTGTTGTTGTTTGGTTTTTTAAACGGTTTCTCTGTGTAGCCCTAGCTGTCCTGGAACTTACTCTGTAGCCCAGGTTGGCCTGGAACTCACAGAGATCCACCTGCCTCTGCCTCCTGAGTGCTGGGATTAAAGGTGTGTGCCACCATCACCTGACTTATTCTTTAATTTTTATACTACTCATAAACCATTATAAAAATCACTCAATTTTATAACTTAAACTAAGTCATACTGCTACTGATAAAGATAATATTGTATTAGGTCTTCTATCCTGGAAATGTGGCTGATTGTTCTTAGTATGTGAAACTACAGAGGTTGGAGCAAACCAGAAAGGCCACCATTAATGTGTTAGTAGGCCAATTGAGGCCACCAGAGCAGGTGGCATGGTATGTCTGTGGAGGGGAGGTAGAAGAAGAAACTCTGGTACCAAGGGTTATTGGAAAATACTATGAAAAGTACTATGAAAAATACTCATGGCCATGTTTTACGTAGAAAATGGGTTCTCCCCTAACCTGGAGCTTAGGTCTTTCAGACAACTTAGGTAAAAGATAGTAAGCAGTAGGGCTGCAAAAGGAAATGTAAAATTTAAAACTCTCCAAACTGAAGCATTTCATTTAAAGTGTGTTTTCATATGCAAAACTGAAAATTATTTTAATCTCCTCATGAGAGTAGAACTTCATTTGTTATTACCAGTTTTCCTGGGGCTGCACAGAAAAGGGTAGTCTCTTTCTCTCTCTCTCTCTCTCTCTCTCTCTCTCTCTCTCACACACACACACACACACACACACACAGCTTTTCAGGAAAAATTTTGTGGATATCAGGTGTCCATATACAATGAAATTTCTTGGTACTTCCTTTTTTCAATCAAGACCTATTTGTAATCTTATTCTGGTGTGTAAGAACTGTCTTGTATTTTCATCTCAGAGTCACAGTTGCACACATTTACAGCAATCGTTAGACTATGTGGTGTGTGATACGTGTCTCTTTGGGTAAAGTTCTAGCCGTTGTCAGGTGGTTGTATCAGAGTCCAACCAATAAAAGGCATATCACTATTACCTAATCAAGGGAGTGCTGTTTCATTTGAGCATTTGATTCCCACTAGAATGCACTACATTTAGTAACCATTCAACACAAGACGTGCAATAGGCTGCTTCTGTTGGTCATAGCATCATCCCTTTATATTTGGCTTATATTTCTCCTTTTACAAAGACATTGGAGAAGACGTCTCGTGGTTGTTTCACTGAGATGAACTAAGAATGGCATCACTTCCATACTCAAGAGAACTGTGTAAGGCACACAGCACTAGCCTTTGTTGCTCTGCCACACAGAGCAAACCGTGTACAGCATATGTGAGAGACGTCTCCTAAACTCGCCACCTGTTTTGCATGGCACATAAAGCAGGAAAGAATGACAGCCCAGAATAAAGTAAAAGCTGGCATCAATACTATAGTTTACATTTGGCCATCACAACAGTCATTTCCTCTTGGCTCAGGTTAATTGATAAAAACTACTTTAAAGAACATAGAAATCTTTGCTTACCTAAAAAACACTAAAGTTGGGATTACACAAGAAATTGAATTTTTGAACGTGGGATGAAATTGGTTTTGTTATTAACTAAAGGGGATGTCCTTTCATAAGATTATGACAATTTAATGTGGAAGTTGATGGAACCCTTGTTTCTGTGATGGGCACTCCAGGCAGACAATACAAGAGATGCTGATCTGATTTCAAAGCCCCTTTGGTGGTACCCAGCCCCCCCACACTGCCATGCTGCCTTGGCCAGTGCGGAATGAAATTAAAGATGGATGGCTGGTTCCAAAGTACAGGTGTGTTGTGTTGAGTATCATAGGTTGCATAGGTTGTTAGGAGTTAACTTATTTCCCTAGATTAGAAGATAGATGAACTTTAGTCCACTAAAGGTTAGAAGGAAATGAGTTATCCTATTTGATATAGATGTGGCAAGTCAGGATGTGTGATAGCCCTAGGAAGAAAAGTCTATCTGTGTCATCAGAACATTTTGCTCTGTTCTTAAAAAAGAGTGTGATATGGGAGGGAGGGAGGGACGGAGGGAGGGACGGAGGGAGGGGGAGGGAGGAAAATTTAGGACACTTGAAATTACTCCTAAAATCTCATACTGTTTTGCCAGTCAGTGGTGGTGCATGCCTTTAATCCCAGCACTTGGTAGGCAGAGGCAGGAGGATCTCTGTGAGTTCAAGACCAGCCTGGTCTAACAGAGCTGGTTCCAGGACAGCCTCCAAAGCTACACAGAGAAACCCTGTCTCTAAACCACGCCCCCCCCAAAATATCTCCTTTTGTTTCAGTGTGATGGCATTTTTAATTTAGTAAGGTAACTATTTTAACAAATGTTATTGAAGATTTTGTTAAAATAAAGATATATTAAATTACTAACTTCAATGAAAGTAAAATTGAGACTTAAGCATGAGACATTTGGAATCTAAGATTAAAAACATAGTCATTTTCAAAACAGAATTAAGTAAACATACATAAACACATATACACATATTTGTCAATAATCAGAAAAACCTTGTGCATCATGCTAACTTAAGAGGATTCTAATACTACGTCTGGTCACTCAAAACTGGGTTAACAGACAGAAGAGAACTTGTAGAAATGATTTCAACAGATGAGTATAAAGAAGATAAACATTTAATTTTGATAAAACAATAAAGAATAAATAACAATACAATTTCATTGCCCTTTTAAAATGGAAATTTTAAGCCTAAATGTTGAGTATAAGTACAAATTTCTTGTAAAGGTCTACATAATATAATTCAATTACATTTACAGACAAATTATTTATAGAGCTAAACAAATGAATTCATTTACAGCAGAATCAGAAGCCAATAGTTTTGAAGCAACTACCAATGCATAATACTTAAGATATATTACATGTATATAATACTTACGATACATTAAGATATAAAACACTTAAGATGGGTCAAGTGGTGAAGGACAGAGTGCAGGTAAAGGATGATGCCTGAAGACATCCCCCAGGACTTCTAGAGAACCGTGTTAACTCAGTAGCTGTCGTAGAACAATTCTGTCCTCCAGTCCTGGAAGTCGGAGCTTCTCCAAGAGCACCTCTGGGCTGAAATCATGATGTGGCATGGCGTACCGCTTTCCGAAGACTTTAGGGGAGAATTCATTTCCTTGTAGCTTCCAGCTTTTTGGGAGCTGCCTGTGTTCTTTGTCTCAGAGCCCAATCTCTACACCTTCAAAATCAGCAGGAGTGGAGTGAATCCTTCAGGCTCAGATCACTCTGGCCACCTCTTCTGTCTGCTTCTTCCACTGTGTATCAGGCCTATGTGGATAACCCAACACAGTCTTTTTACTTGGGGTCATCTGATTAGTGACCTAAATTAATCTACATTACTAACATGGATGCTTTCTGCTGATTAAGACATGCGCACTTTGGGGGAGCTATTTTTTCTTCCTATCATAGATGCAGACATCAAATAGATTTACGAGGCTCTACAAACTTCAAGCAGAACGATATCACACGCATGCATGCCTGCAGAGCACACTGGCTCAGGAACATCATAATCAAAGTGCAGACTAACAGATATGTGAAGGGCCAGATAAGAAGATAGCTCTCCCTAAAAGGGTAAGATAAACAAACAGACAAACACATAATTATTGACACCACCAATGAAAACCGACCCCTTTGAGGGTCCAATGACCCTTTCACAGGAGATGCAGATCAGATATTTACGTTATCATTCATAACAATAGCAACATTACAGTTATGAAGTAGCAATGAAATAATTTCATGGTTGGAGGGGTCACAACACAAGGAACTGTATTAAAGATTCACAGCACTAGGAAGGCTGAGAACCACTGTCTTAGAATGATGACTTCAATGTGCAGAACAAATAATATTAATCTGCAGTTTACACCTATCACAATTATCAGCATAGTATTCTATACTGTGTAAATAAGCGTTTTAATCCTAAAACAGAAGTAAACATGTTTCCCGAAAAAAGGAAAAAGATCCCTCTAAAAGTTATCTTTAAAAATTTTACTTCAGGCAAGATATGATCGCACCCACCTTTTATCCCAGCTGCTTGGAGGCAGAAGCAGGGGATTGTCTGTGGGTTGAAGGCCAGCTTTGTCTACATAGAAAGCTCTAGGCCAGCCGAGGGTATGCATAGTAAGGCTCTGTCTCAAAAGGAAACAATCTACTTCAGCAGAAGATAGTGACCCTAATCCAAAGTTGGAAACTGAGATGAAAACAAAGAAGTGGCCACTATGGGAGGAAACACACTCTTTAAATATTAATACTTTGTGGAATTGAACTAATCTTAAAGTATATGAAAATAACATACAATATGTCACATCGTGATGGGGTAACTGTCCTTCTGTATGCTGTGAATGTGTTTCTCTTATTGGTCTAATAAAATGCTGACTGGCTAGTAGCCAGGCAGGAAGTATAGGCGGGGCTACCAGACTAGGAGAATGCTGGGAAGAGGGAGGCAGAGAGGAGCCGCTGGAGAGACTCCACCAAG